TAATTGTTTTAGTTTATTTTTCTATACAAATTTCAAGTATTGCACACGTCTGCAGTTAAAAAGGGGAAATGGAAGTGTTTCATTGATAGTCTTCTGAAAATCGCAGAATGAATTTCCACGACATCTCAGAAAGTCGCAAGATGCCAGCTTTTGGTTTTATAGGTAGGTTAAACTTATAATCTATATATTCTGTTTATTGGCAATCGTTATTTCAAAAAATGCTATAAACTCATAAGCAACCACTCAGTTTGAAAATTCGGAGAGAGTTACATGATTTGATTGCTAGTAACATAAAACTGATTATTTTTTGAGCAAAACCATGTTTTTTCAAAACCGAAATTGTGCAATCAAACCATGTTTGCTCTATTTGTTCATTAAGTTTGTATTGTTGTTTTCACGCGGCGTGCAGGTTTTTGCGTGCAGTTAAGCGCACCTTCGGGCGGTAGCTTTGTTCGAACTAAACAGCTTAACGTAAGGTGAGGACTGACACCTTTTTCAGTTTTCTGTGCTAAAATCAAATTTGCATCTTATTTTCGCCAAGTTAGAGTCCTAGAAAATCTGAATTCGCAAAGTGTTATCGAATTAAAAGACAAGCTGCTTTTGGCTACACTGCGTTGGCATTAATAAATGAATAAGTAAATGGAGCTGCTTGACATTCAGCTTCTGAATCTTTGACTTTTTGATCTTAGGCTTCTTGCTGGAGATTGCTTGATGGATAAATCACTTAGATGCCAAAGATTCCACCTGGATGGGTGGCATTCTGTCATCCTTCTTGACAGCGAAAAAACACTGAATCTCATGAAATTCATTGTCAAACTTTCCGTTTGTGTGATAAAGTTTGATCGCAGTCAGTACAGACAATAATTAATTATTGAAATGATCGCTGAGAATCAATGCATTTAGCTTATAATTGCAAATTTGCAAGTGATTACGTACATAAATTTGCATAAGATTGCAGCTATAAAAGCCGGTTCCTTGTGATTTACTTGATAAAATTTTGATAGAGCTACGCTTGTTTTTATAGTTTCACGCAATGAACTCTTTCACGCAAATGGTAAGAAGTAGTGGCGGCTTAACTCATTACTTCTTTTCATCATACAAGCCCTTAAGTCGAAGCATAACTTACAAAAGATTCTAACAGTTATTGCTGAAGATTCTATTAGAGAAAAAAGAATTGTCATAATAATATCACAGAATTACTGTGAATGGCACACATTAGTAATATGACAGTTTATATAGAATTAGAATTAGATGTTGATAGGGTATGATTATTAGTATATTTCAAGAGATATTACACTGCTTGCTTCACAGATGTTGCTTATGACACACGTGAGGTTGATTTGGAGCATCACTTGTTTCTCCAGCAGAAATGGCCACGAAGAGGACTGCGGTGGCGTGGATCCGTTTTGTTACATTTTTCGGAAGTCTAAATTGTACAAGCCTTATTGGTTTATTTCAAGAGGATGTGATCACACTTTTTTTTGCAATGTGTGTTCATTTTCCAAATTTATTCAAACGAATCTCATTACGATTAGTTTGCTTTAGTTCAGAATTTTAAATTGAACTCAGCGACTTTTAGATAATTACAAAAGTTTTCATCTACAGTTGTTCTCAATACAGTAACTAGCTACAGTAAGCTGTCAAAAGTAGCTTCAGTAAGCTATCGGAAGTAGCTTGCTGTGCTTTGAATAA